CTGGTGGCCCATGCCCACACCATGGTATTGGTTTTCATATCTCCAAATCAGTAATTTGGGGTTGTGTTGGCAAGCAAGTGGCCAATATAGCTTCTGGAGAAGAGATGTTACGTGTGCTGTATCACTGACACCTATTTAGCAAACAGCAGCTACTTTCAACGATAACCAAAGCCCTGTTACACTGATCAAACGTGTCATCTCTGCCTTTCTAGAGATTTTGTGCCATGGCAGTACTTTTGTGTTTGAGGCAATCTTGATCACTTTTTTTTTTAATCCTAGTAATGTATTTATTGAATAAATGAGTCTGAATGTTTGGTACCTGATCATCCTTTCTTTCTTTCTGCCTGTTTTCTACTTATGTTCTTTCCCTTTAGCATTTATTAGAACAGCTTCCCTTTCCACAGAAGTGCTATGTTATTTATAAATTACCAATTTATTTGCAATATACCTTATATGAAATGGGCCGTAGATGATGGTTACATGGCTTGAGAATAGACCCCTTAATTTTGAAGTGTTTTATAAACAATCGGCAATAAATGGCCCGATCCTGTGTCCTTTGCTTTAGTGGGAGTTTTCCAACAAGGCTATTTACGCAAGAACAGCCAGGCTGCCAGCGCAGCGTCAGCGGACAGCATGCGTTTACATTCAGCGCAGTTGCATGTCGCTGTGCCAAGAACAAATTTTGCTGATTCAAATTTGTTCAGTTTGTCAACACACAAGCTCCCATTGAACTTCACGGGACGAGAATCATTCTTGGCACGGGGCCGCGGGCAGCCCGGGCAGCGCTGCCGGCACCGGCTGCAGCGAGAGCGGTGCACCAGCGAGAGGAGCAGTGCCCAGCCTTGGCTCCCTGGTTTGCGAGGCTCCTGTAGCATGTGTTCGCTGTTGTTTGACTAGTGGGAAGAGTCAGTGATAAAAAGGGATATCCTAGACTAGTTTTCAAGGCACTTTTTTTTTTTTTTTCTCCTTCCCCTGACTGTCTGGATGATTAATGTGAATAGGAAAATACTGTTGACCCATTTAAATCATGTTAGACGACATCCATTGCTCATCTGCATAATGAAATACACACTGAACATTACAGCCTAAGAGCCAGTGAACTACAAAAATAATATTTTACTCATTTAGATTATGAAGTAAAATATAGGACATTAGTACTAATCATAGTATTAAATTTTAAGCCATGCAAATTGTAATTGTCAGCAAAAAAGAACTATAAGTTGAAAAGGCTATTAGCGTTTCAGCTTTAACAGTTAATTTGAGTAATCTTTTTTTGTGTGTGTGTGTGTGCAGCTTAGAAAAGTCTATATACAAAACATTTAATAGTAAGTGCAGGAGTGTTTGTTTCATATCATTATTTAATTTTGATCATTAAAGAAATGTTAGAAATATTAATTTATAGTATTAAAATGTATTGACAGTTTATATTACAAAGAGTAAACTGTAATCTTTACTTGGATAAAATCAAACCTAAATGGCGTATTATTTGTAACCGAGAGATGAAATTATTTTAATAATTTATTTAAGTACCAAAGCAAAAACTGAAGCCTTTAAAAGTATGGATTTTGTCATACTGAAACATCATTTTCAGCATTTTAAATTAAACACAAATGTTAAAGTACTGATTTTAGGCTGCCAGGTTTCTATGGTTACCTACCTTTCCAGCAGTTTGGTGAGATGTGTAAATAGGCCTATGAGTCACTTGTAATTATTTGTTTTTTGTTTGTTATAGTTGTAATTCTGTGTTCAGTTTGAATCTAATATAGCTCACACCACATGCTTTGGTTTATGTATATTTTAGTGCGTATGATTGACAGTGATTGAGCATTTCTTATGGAGTGCTTGTTTTTTTTGTCATAAGTGATGTATGTTGGTACTTCTGAAAATGTAAACAACTTCTTCCTGTATCACTGTTTGATAAACAGGGACTTCTATGATAAGAAAGAGGTCTTTGTAAATGTTAAGCAAGGAGATAAGTGAAAGGTATTTAAAAAAAAAAATTGAAACAGCTCCCAAACATTATACCATACTCTTCCAAATTCGACCCATAATCCTATGATTATAGTTCATTCAGTGACCCAGATGTCACGTATTTATGAATAAGCTTCCAAGGTATGCACTAAATAGCACATACTAATGACTGACAGGTTTAAAAATGAATGTTCTAATAAGGATGTTAGAAGCTCTTGATTCGAACATCTTCCTTGTGCAGAGCATCTTCTTGGAGGAAAAAAAAAAAAAAAAGAGCTTGTTTCCACCGCCACCACAATAGTGTAGTAGAAACAGCTGTAAACTCTTACACCTCTCTGCTCATCTATTTTGAAGTCCACGTTGTAGGATGTAATTCCCCAACCTTGTACTCTTCACTATAGAGAGGGACATGTACGTGTTTTCTCAGTAAAGACTCACTGTCCTAACGTAACTTGGTTTTTATGTGAAAACAGGACAATACAAGTAAGTAACAACATTTAATACAAGGCAAGAAACACTGCTAGCAGTTATTTTTACCAAGTTAGTAGTAATGTCATCTTATTTTATTAGGGTATTCATCCCAGTTGCTATCAGTAAACACTTTTTTTTAAATTTTGAGATGAGACTGGCTAACGATTCAGGAATCATCTTGTATCCTTAAGAGATTTGGCTGCAGGTGCATTGAAAATAATTATTGCAATGGATCTTATATTTTGTGGGGGGAAAAGACTGACACCATTCTCTTCTTGTGTCTCAAGCTACACAGAAAACCCTGATACGATGTTCAGGAGCAGTCCTAAATTTTCTATGCAAAGTTTATTCTTATTTCAACAGCCTTGCTCACCCACTGAAAGGGTTTCTGTGGGAAACGTTTTTTGTGGTGATTCAGACACTGTTTCTATTTCGGATGGAAATTTAAGAGGGTAAAGCAGAATTTATTTTTAACATTTAATACTGTATCAGGTGTGTATATAGAACATAACCACTCCAGTTGAAAAACAGTTGTTTCACAGAGCACCTGAAAAGATTTTATCCCAGTAGTATTCAATGAATGTTAAAGCGGTGGGTGCATATTAACAAGAAGATTCGGTTTTGTGTGTGTGTGTAAGGACTGTTTGAATAGCTTATTATTTTAATCTGAAACAACTACTATTTTTTAAACAGAGTAACTTGTTCCAACAGTTGTACTTCCCTACAAAGTCAAAAAAATGAGTAAAATAACCAAGCAAAAGTAATTCCTCTGATCTTTTAAAAAACCTAGATGGTGATTGAAAGATATATTTAAATAGGCAAACCTGAGCAAATATGTTTCTCATTCTAATTTATTCACTTTATGATAAATTAATTTACTCGGTATAGGAATGCAGTAACATAAGAGGAATGTTTCTCCTGCTACTCACAGAAGTTGAAACTTGCCAGATGCTGTGATCTGGAGCCTCAATTCCCCTGATATTAACTGTGTATGAAACTCTTAATATTGCTTTGTCCAGCGTTTGTACCCGACTTGTTTCATTTTGCTGTGATACTGCTTTAGGCAACACTTTCTATTTTCTACTTGTGTTATTCTATCAGAGAGAGAAAGAAAATGTAGTAGAAATAACATTAGGGTGGAAGGCTGTATTGGAGAACTGCAATGCCCTGTTCCCAAAATCAAGCCTGTACAGCCCAGTCCTATTTTCTGTAATAGACAATTAATTTCCTTTCATATATGAATGAATATCATTCGGATATAGTTAGATTGTACTCTGTATTTTTTAAATCCTATAATAAAATGGAAAAGTGCTGTTTAATGATACCAGGATTCTGCTCAGTTGGTGAATTTATTTCTTATTCTGGCTTGGTGAAGCTGTGTGTGTATACATACATATACAACTGCTCAGTTGGTCAGAGGGGTTTTTAAGGATATAAAATTAATTTTTCCTTTTGCAACTTTAACAAACAAGAAGACTGTTGGTTGCTGCTGATAAAAGGTGGCACCGAGCCAGCTTCCTGAAGGAGCTATGGGGAGGGTCATGGCTTGTCATGACCTGGGCACTATTACTTGAATGTTGTTATTATTGGGATGAAGTACCCTTAGGCTGTCATCCTTCCTGTAAATAGAACAGGTTCTGATTCCCTGTTGTTTCCCAGTTTACCAACTTGTAGAACAGCTATTTTGTTGGCCCTAAGTTTGACTGAATAATGAATTAGAACAACAGCATTATTTCAGAAGGCTCTGATTCATCATTTTAGTGTGCTGGTCTAGATGAAGTCATAATAAGGAAAGCCAAATGAGAATGTCTATATAGTTTGTAAATTTGCACACAATAAAAAAACCTCATTTGTATTGGCATGCTACAAATTGCCAGGTTCCACCCTCTGTGAAGTAAAGGCAAAATTGTAATCAGCAGGGAGCTTAACTGGTCCTGAGGGCCAAACTTGATTTTTTTTTGGTGTCATTGAGGAATCTCAGTGGTGTCGGCAGAGGGGCTGACTCCATTCCCTTGGAGTTGGTCAGCGTTTGGCCATTGACTTGCTTTATTGGCTCTTAGGAGAGCAATTTTGTTAATGCCGTTATTAACTAAACATCTTCTGTCGTTAACTTCCAGTTAATTTCAATAATTAAATAAAACAATGCCAATTAGAATATAATGTTTGCAAGATACTAGTCTGTATTTTGGTTTCTCAGGGTACAGTCATAAGCATGCTGTTGTCGAGGTTTTCACCAATGTGTTGCTGTTGTAACTGAAGTCACGTCTATCCTGATGAATATTTCATTTCCCCAATCATGTTATTAAAACCAGAGTGTTTTTACCCTTTCATTTCTGTTTTCTCTTTTCCAGTACCATCATGACAGCTGTGGCTGCGTCCTGTTTACAAATTGCTGCTAGTCACATTTTCAGTAGTCCTTGTGGGTTTTGCTTTCCCCTAATATGGGCAATTAGGAGGAAATATTTCTCACGAGCATGGCCTTGCTCTTCTCCTTGTAATGACATAGGCCTGCAATCCAGGAAACAGTGCTGCATGGTGTCCATGTCCACGATTTCCTGATGTGGGAAAAAAGTGTGGAAAGCATCTGGAGAGGAGGAGACCCCCTTTACCAGCTTGTTTCCTGTGAGCGAAATTGGAAGACCTTGTCTCTGCAAATAGATTTCAAAATAGAGTCTGCCCTTTGACTGTCTCCATAATTACACAGCGCTCTCTGTATTTTATTTGGCTGCCAGAGCAGTTAACCCCTGGAAGTAAGGGGCTGATGATGGCGTGACCAGCACGGGTATGCAGACATGACCATGTGAATACACTCTTGTTTGGAGAAGCCTGTCGTTAAGACCTCGTTACAGTATACTTTTACCAAATTTAAAAATTATTACGTGTTGGGTTATGTTGATTAAGATATGTTATATCCTTAATGTACAGAAAATGCAGAGGTATTAGTTGCAAAAAAGGAAAAAAAAGAAACAGAAAAAAAGTTCCTTCGTGGCTTTGATGTAATCAACATCTGTCAACAGAATGAATTTGCTTTTGTTTAATTTCAGGGGCTCTTGTTCTTCTACTTGGCCCAATCAGTTTCAACTTCTGCCTCAGGCATTTCCCTATGTTGTTCTTCCCGCTCCCCCCCCTTTTTTTTTTTTTTTTAGCAAATGCACAGGTTATTGCTTGTGAAATGTGAGCTCCTCTTCTGCTACACAGGTTACACGGAGTTGGAGAGAACCTTTAATCTTTCCCATCCTATTTTTGAAGCTTGGATGTACCTTTACAACACAGGGATTACAAAGTCAGTGTTTTATTAAGACAGAATTACAAGTAAAGATCTATCAAACCACAGCCATTATTTTGGATTGAAAAATGGGAACATTTGGTAATTAATAGTAAAAAGCTATATATATTACCTAGTTGCATTGGTTGGATTCCACATATCATTACACATACTGATTTTTAATACCTCACTTTAAACTTCATTCCTCTGAATTTTCAGCCAAATGAATATTTGCACAAGAACCAAAATTATGATATAATATTAAAATAACCTGACAAGCCAAAATAACGATTTCTAGTGTTCTACCCTCAAATGCATATATACCAAGAAAATCTCCATGGTCATTCTTTTTTTAAGTTTAAAAAAAAATATATAAATATTCAATCACATATTTAAAAATTAGTTATCTGAACAATGCTTTTGATGTTATTTGTTCATATAAATTAAGTAAGATTTACTTTATCAAAAGCAAGTTGGTTTTATTGCCTGAATCGGTTGGATGTTAATTCTTGTAACCCTAAATAATTTTGGTACTGTGCTTCTGTTGATACTATGACTAAATTATTCTAAAATACCTTAAATTTCTTTCTTGGCTCTTTTAAGATGTACTCTTGTATTTATTGTATCTTACAACTGTCATGAAGTTTATCCTTTGGTAACATTTTTGCTAATTGCTGGGAAAGTTGAAGTCTTTCATAAATAATTACAAAAAAAATGGTTGCTAACAGTCACGTTTGATGAATCATGTAGATGAGCAGTTTTTTGCATGGCTCTCACACACCTCATTCATCGAAAACGTAGCTGATAAATTGCTGTAACTCTTAAACAAGAAGCATTAGGAAAAGGCTTATGTGAGAGTTCATTTCCAACATCTCCCTTTAAAAATACTTCTTGACCAGAGGAAAATCACATTTAAATGACTAAAATCAACTTAATTAAGGGTCATTAATAGAGATACACATAAAAAACTCTCTACTCTGTGAGTGAAATGGGAGCATTTCATTATATAGTGTAGCATGCATGAACAGATAACAATTAAAACAGACCTAGAGTAAAAGGCTAATAAATATAGGGCACATTGTACTGCAAAATCAGTCACTTAAAACGCTCCCACCCATCATCACACTTGAATTCTATATTCAGCCCCTTTGGCTGACTTGTTTAAAAGGAAAAGGAAATGTAATTTCCACATAAGATAAATTCATCTGGTAATTCACAAAAGCTCACAGTGCATATTTATACAAATTAAGGTCTGTAGGGTATGCTGAGGAATCCAGCGGCTCCGGCAGGACATGCGTGCGTATGGATCGCACAGTGTGATTCAGTGTCGAGTCAGAGGAGCAGTTGTCTCTAATTCTCTGTGCTCGGCACATCGTATCTGCTGGTGTGATTCAGTAACGCTGGTAATAATTCTCCTTATTGCAGCTGATAGTAAATATTCTGTTACTCGTGGCAAGTGACGTAGCTTTGCTGTTGGGGGAGAGAAAAAACATAAAGGGTCAACTTTGCATCCTGGCTGTGCTGGCGTGTTTCCAGGCTACCCGGCTTCAAACGCTGGGCTCGCTCCGATGGCTGCAGTTTCCACTGGCAGCTGCACAAATCCCGTGTTTATGAACTATCTTACAGTAATTAATATACACGAACGCTTAGCAAAAAGGATGTGCTTGAGCAGCAGTGTTGCAGAAGTAAATAAGGCACTGAGAAAAGCTTTGATAGGTGTAAGGGATGAGGAGGAGGGAATATCTGAGCCAGACTCGGAGAATACAGCCAGTTGTTCCTGTCTTCGGTGATTGATGATGTTGCTATATCGAATTAGCTGTGAATGTGGGAGCTTTAAAAATAAAAGGAGCTGTGGAGACATTAGGAAGGCCTTCTTAAGGAAGGAAGTCTGTGGATGGACTCCAGATTTTCATTATAAAACAGTAACTTCATTATATTTTAATGCCATTTTATTTCATTTTATTTTTACTTTGTAGGAGAATGTTTTCTGTTACAATTTTTTTTGTATTTCAAATAAAGGTTTAGTTGTCCTGTGTTTATAAGTCTTGCGATGTATTTTAGGAGTCATATTATACCATGGTGATATTTATTTGGTTGTCACTTTTCACCTGTTCAAGTAGTAGATATTTTTGTATGCGTCTGGTTTGTAATGAGTAGTTAGTAGAATAACAACAGACTACAGTACCTTATTATCCTGTTATCTTGTGACAACACTTACAGCGTATGTTTGGGAGAATAGAGGAAAAAATTTTGTTCCAAATAAAAAGGTATCCCTTCTGAATGTGGGATAGTCGATAGGCATGCACCCATGAATATAAACTGGTTTAATGTATTTAATGGTGTGTATTTGGGTCATTTGGAGTTTTATCGTTGAATAATTGACAAGCACACTCGCACCTTTTTTTCCTCAATTAAACTTTTACACAGTAGACAAGGTGCCTGGGCAGCATGCCGTGCGTCAAGGAGAGCATTTGAAATACACGTTCACATATTTATGTCCATGTGGACTTTAACTGACCACATCAATGAGTGTGGGTTTTCAATATATTTATAATACTTTCAGCTGCGGTAAGAGCAAGGTACTTCCGCTGCACTCTGTAAAAGATCTGCTGGCAGGCTGATTGCTACTTCCGATGTCCCAAAAGTTGCTGCCTCAGCTGATTCTGTGCTTCCAGCTTCCAGAAACGGGTACAAACCGGCCAGGGGGTTTGTTAAGACACTTTGGGGTCTTTGGATGTGCTTATACATTGTGCAGGCTAGATGGCCCAGATTTAATTTTTTTTAATTACACGATGATTTTTTTCTTGTGAAGGAGACCCTAGGAAAGCAGTAGATGATGAAGTTGTTGACTAAATGTTAATTAAAACACCACCAAATCAATCCACTCTCTCTTAACTGGGCAGCTCCACTTCCATGGGGACACCTGAAGCAGGCAACTTCCACTGGGATACCTAGGTTATACTGAGCGCTTGATCTGAGCCTCGGTCTCCAATTCTGCCTTATTACTTATAAACAATTTTTTAAAATGGTAAAAATTTGCTTGCATTGAGTAAAAGTCTTTACAACCTTTCAGATGTTGTGCAAATTCAGATGTTGGTAACCAAACATAGCACTGATCAGTGTGCAAAAAGACAGTTGGGAACATTTCTAAAGCAAACCCCATGCAACTATTTCATTCATTCTCCGTTTTGGGGCTCCAAAAAAGGTGCGTAACTCAAATCTCCTGTATATCATGGAATGCTGTAAAAAGGCTGTCTATAAAACCAAGTGTGCATGTGGAAGGATAATTTCTGCATCTGGACCTGATAAATGCATCCAGAGGAAAGGAAGGTACAATAAAAACATACAAGATATGGAAGAAACTCTTCTAAAAAAAAAATCTTTTTTACATAGTTACAAAATATGTAGTAGACTCATTTCTTAATTTCTGTGATATAAAATTGTTTAGTTACTTCTGTTTAAATGAAAACACTTTCTTTTTACTAAAGAGTAATTATTCATATGGGTTATTTGCCACAAAAGATTGCTCTTGTGTTTGTATACATATGACATTTTTCAGAAGCAGATTAACTACTATGTGAAACTCATGTTTCAAGAAACCTCTCTGTTTAGATTATAGAATGTTTCTGTAATGGAAATATGTACTACATGTAATTGTAGTTTAATTGGGCAGTGTCAGTAATCCTTTTGAATTTATTGTATTTCCCGGTTTTGATGCTAGCATTGTCTTCTGTGGTGCATTATTTTGGTTTTGATGTCTCTGACAACCTTTGGGACTCAATGCCCTTTTCCCCCCTTTTTTTCTTTTTTTTTTTTTTTCTTTTTGGGAGGGGGGTGAAATGTGTCATTGCCCAACAGCTAAGTTTGAGCAATGGATACTGTGATGAACTGACATCCCAAATTCCCATGTGAATTAAATGAAAATCTGATTTGAATATTTCAAGTCAATTACAAATTTTAATCCCTTCAAATGCCTTTGGCCAAGATTAAAAATATCTCTTGAAGTTTGTTCTGTTGCCCTGCTAGGCAGGACAAATTGAACTCTGTTCCTTGTGTCTTGGTGCAAATGACAAGAGCAACTTGGTTGTGCTCAAATCTGTGACCAGTTCTGCAGAAATACAGGTGAAAGTATTGTCTGAAATCAAAATTAAATCTTTTTTTTTTCTCTCCTCTTTTCTTGCTATTGTCCCTTATTCACCATTTCCCCAAGCCTTGAACAGTTCAGCTTCTAGCTGTGCAAATGGCTACAAGCAGGGGCCAGTTAGAGCATCACTCCTGGCTGTAAGCTTTGGCGTATTGACACACACTACTTTTTAATGCATCAAGTCAAAATAGATCTGGTATTTTATAAAGCTTTGAAGTACTGTTTGTGGAGGTTTTTTGTTCTTTTTGCTTCTCGGTATTAATGCTCTTTCTCTAATGGTACAAGATTTGAACAATTTGAACTACCCTTGACTACTACATGAGTTCTGTGGTTTGATGCCCTTCTTTTTGCATACTTTCCATTTTGTAATGTGGCAGTAGAAAAAAATGTTAACCATTTTTAACTTATCTCTTAACAGGTTCTGTGTCTGGCTGCCACGTAATCTTTTCTTCGTGCAGTCGTATCTATCTGCACAGGCAGTCAAGCAATCAACAGCGAAGATGCTTCTTTTTTCAGGGACAAAGAAATACTGCTTGTAGTATAGTCTGGCCAGCCACGGTTTCTCCAGCTCACCCAGTTCCTAAGGTACTGCGATTTCTATTATCTAATCTGTTCTTCAAGTCAGTATAGAGTTCGACTGCAGGCGTGATCAAGTGTATTCATTGTCCGACAGCTGGGGGTTTGGATCACTGTCCTGTTGCTTGGTCCGGTATTTGAAATAGGAGCACTGGTGAGAGGCGTTTTCAACTGCTTACCATGTTAAACGCAGTGGCATATCTAATTATTAGGGAGCTTAAACCCGGGGCTTGTTCAGTTATGGTAGTATAAACGTGGCATATTATAATCATCCGTCAACACTTAACACTTCTGGGTCCAGATTCTAGTTTTGGACAATTATAGACAGTCCTACCAAAAGTCAGTAGGAATCATTCATGATCATCTGAGCCCTTTTCTGTATAAATCTCTAGTAAGTTACTTATAAAAATGTTTATATTTGGTTGAAGGTTTTGTTAATTGTTTATGTGAGATGTAGGAAGAGAAGGTACAATACCTGCTGGTAGTTGCCCCACAACCCCACTGCACGTTCTAAACTTGTCTTTGCCTGAGTGTTTTCTTTTCTTGCAACATATACTTTTATTTTTATTTACTTCAGAGCCAAAAAGAACTTTTTCATGCAATTTTAGCATGTGTTCCACTTCTGGTTTCCTTCTTTTTCTTTACTTTTTTCTTTTTTTTTTTCTTTCTTTTCTTTTTTTTTTTCCATTTAAGTACAGCATACAGATTAACTGATTAGCATCTTTCCTTTAGCCAAAAGAAAACAAAAGTACCCTTTCTAAACAGTGCTTTTCAGGATATGTATCAGTACTTTTTTAAATTTTACTTTTAATTTTATTATAGATTTCTTATGCAAAATACAGAGTATTTCCATGGGCCAGAAATACTAAAAAGTTCTTGGATGGGAAAGTAGATAAGGATGCTGGATGTAGGGCTTTTATGCCTAAGAGGCTGTGGAAGTTCTGTGTGCAGGGAGAACATAGGGTTATATGTTTTATATATTTTCAAATGTTTAAAAAAAACTTTTTTCTCTTGTATTTAGATGCTTCTTTTAGGATAAAGAGGGAGAAATATATTGTCATACTGAAGAGTTGTTTTCACAGATCAGAGTTCTCAGACTATCTAAAAATCAGTCCAGTTCTTCAACTCTGAAAACTTGAGGCCAAAGTTATTACTTCATACAGAGTATGCCAGAAATCATGTTGAAATAACATGGGTTTTTTTCAAGATATTGGTGTGAAACTGTATACATAGACTTGTATGTATGCTGCTTTGGGCTTCTTCCTTAACAGATCTTACAGGTCAGCAGGGTCAGGTCTCAGCAGTTACTAGGTAAGTGCCCTCCAAGGGGAAAGCAAGGGTGCTGCTGTGTATGCAGTTGCTAATACAGCAAATGTGGTTTTTTTTTTCTTCTAAATTAAGTCCTAAACTACTGCAATAGGATGTTGTTAGGGTTGATATGCCATTTATTTTAACAAAATGTAAATCTGAAATTCTGTTGACATGAATCCACTAAAAATAGTTTCACTTTTTATCAGAGTAGAAGTGAAATACCCGTAGGAGTAACAACAGTATTCCTGTTGAAAGTTCCACTAGAGCTAATTGTTTGCACCGCTTTGCTTTACTCCTACACCCTGATGTTGTATGGTCTTGTTGTGTACATCCCAAGTGCCCACTTTGTTTTATGCCTGCCAGCTTGATTCTGTATTTTGTGAAGTCAGTATAAAACTTGCCCCATGGCCCATGTGGCAAAGAATCAGCCTGGCTGTGGTGGGCAAAGGGGCTCTTCCTCAGCCAGTGAAACAGCCCAGGACCCTCCGAGAGAAAGTGCATTTCCATCTCTCTGCAAGATGTTACCGTTACTATTAGTTTGTTATAGTTCATACACTTGTCAAGGGATTTTTGTGGTTTAAAAAAATCAGAAGTGAAATTTCACCTCTATACGAGGGCTGAGAACTTTCTGTGCAGAAAAAAAAGTTTATTACACTTTCCCTTGACACAGCAAATTGAGATACCCTTGCATAGTGTTGTAAATGGGCAGCATGTGAACTAGATTAATAAGTAAAAACTCTAAATTAAAATAAGTTAAATTCTAAGGTTTTTAGTAAAAAAAAAAAAATCTCCTGGAAGTTAACAGGAGTTTTATCTAGGTGACAAACTAAGGATTTGATCAGTTTAATTTTTGAGTTTAATTCTTTATGTTTGTCCCATCAGTTCCAGTGTTTAGATGCCTTTTGTAGAAAACGTGCCGCTCTTTGCAACCGAAAATGAAGACTTTTTAAGTCTTTCTCTCACAGTTTTAAAACTTGCAACTGTCTGTGCTGGAAATTGGCTGCAGTATCTGGGGTTTCAGCACTGGAAGGTTAACAGACTGTGTAAGTCAGTAGTAACAGGCAATGTTAAGTTCAAAAGGGCAGTGGAAGAAATACTGAGGCAGCCTTGAGGGTTTGCCCTGATGGCTTAGGAAGGTCGATACTACGACAGAAAGGGCAAGCTGCCATGAAGCAGGAGGCAGTATCTGAGAAAATGATCCCATTGTCATGCTCAGTTTTCTGATCTTCATTTTCAATCCTTTTTCTCCAAGCACATAAAGAAGCCAGACTATGTGACGACAGGCATTGTACCAGACTGGGGAGACAACATAGAAATTAAGAACGAAGATCAGATTCAAGGGCTTCGTCAAGCTTGTCAATTGGCCCGTCATGTCCTGCTCCTGGCTGGAAAGGGCTTAAAGGTAATAATTACAGAAGTCCCATAACAGCTTGGATGTCTTTTATGCTTTCAGTTATTTGGGGGTTTTTTCCACCTTTTTTTTTTCCTTGCTTTCCCTTAATGTGCATCCAACCTTAAGTTAGATCCTGAAAAAAGAAGGATTTATTAACTTTTGATTCAATGCATGATATGCCTGTTTAATTATTTCTGTATTTTGGACCTATGTAGTACTTAGAGTGAGTTGCTGGCTCAGGCGTAATATTGCTCTGTCTGTAATCTCCCTCTCTGGGTGGTGCCAAATCACATGAGTTTCTCATAAGGGACACACTACATTTTTTCCTTTCAATTCATGGTCCATCTTTCTCGTACATCCTGCTTTCCAGCTCTGCATGTGTGCAAGCCCAAAGGGCTGGGCTGCCTCCTCCGTTCCTGTCCATCCTTCAGCCCCTCACTGTCCCATGGGGTCTGGCGCAACACGAGTCATAGCGCTGCTGTTGGAAAAAACAGCTGCCAAATTCCACACAGTTTCCCAAAGTACATCAATAATAAAGCCTCAGGGTTTCCAGTAATGTTTCTACAGTATGCTTTTTGGGATACCTCCCAAGTTATAATGTACTGGGAGGAGCGCACTACCAGGTTTTGCAGATGAAGGAGTGCTTTTTTAGCCTTGCCTTGGTATTTCATGTAATAGCATACTAGATAGGGTAAAATGGGTTGAGTAGCTATGAGATGCAGAGATGGATGGGGACTATAGGTCAATGCCATTGACTTAAAAGGGGAAAAAAATTATCAGTTTACTGTGCATTTTTCTTATGGCTATCGTCACACTTTCCCAGAGGTTTAATTCTGGAGCTGGGGTGGCTAATAACAAAACTGCCTGAAGCTTTAATCTTATATACGCTCATGCATGTTCAACTTCTTTACATGCAGTTATTTCCCAGTACAGTGAAACTTACTCCTGTGAAGTTGAGGGCATATACATGTTTCTGAAGGATCAAGGTGTGATGAGTGAGAGTAGTTTTTCACAAATAATCTTTGGTTATTATCATGTGCAAAATATGCAGCCCGGTATAGCCTGTGATGCAGTTCGTAGTGTGTGCCAAGTCATACATAATAGCAAAACGCTACATGTATGTAATGAACATTTTGGAAAAAAAGTGTGTAAGGTAAGAATTATGTGACCAGGATCTGTGGGACTGGGAGGGACGTGGCACTTGGAGTTGCAGTGCCGAGACCGCTGCCCAAGTCAACCGCAGACAAGGGGTGAGCTCCCTTTTTACACCAGTAAGTGTTCAGCCAAGGCTTCCCTGACTGGGAGGATGCTCTAAAACCCTCCTTCATCGACACAGAACATCTTCTGCTTTCCAGCTTGATGCTGCGCATGGCCAGTTTATATCCATTTGTTCTTGTGCCAACACTGCTCTTTAAGTTAAACAGCTTCCTGCCTTTCCTTGAGCCTGTCCCCTTCACACAGTAATAGAGCTATTACAGCTTTCCGTGCACCAGATTAAACAAACTGAGCTCTTTTAGCCTATTCTTACAAGGTAAACTCTGTGTTCCTATTTTATCTGAAGAGCCCCATTCCTCCACCTGTTCCTGTTGTCTTGCTGAACCCACCTTGCACGCAGCCCTCCAGACCAGCTCTCGTCTGTGCTTTAGCTAATGGCAGTAACATTCCCCAGTACAACAAAGGTGCATTATAATGCATGGATGCAGAGGGACAAGGTTTGGGCTGAGCATGGTTTTGATATTACTATTTACTACCTGTGGGACTTGAAAATACAATATGGTATTAGATATGGTAGAATTTCCTGGGTTTGAGTTAAAGATTTGGGAATAAAGAGCTAATTCTATGACATGAAAGCATTTCGTTAGATACCGTCAGATTGCCCTGTCCCAAATAAGGGATGAGGTGTGCAGTAGGTGCCTCCCCAGCGTTGCCCAGCTAGCAAAAGATCCTTTAAAAGTAAAGCAGATACTGTTAAAAGCAGAACTTCTCAGTGTGTAAGCCTTCCGTGCAGAGAGCACAGATCTGTCTGCTGAGTGTCCAAAAGCCATACTGAATTCCTGGAGCAGAGTGGCGGCAGACAGCACCCAGTCTGGTACAGAGCAGCTCAGTTTGTCTATGGGCTGAAGATGATAGCTGGGTGAGCGAAGGCAGGAGCAGAAAACCTGTATTTACCCAGAACCAATGGCTGCAGTGTCCAATACAGACAGCACACAGCACACTGGGGCTGCGGCTGCCATCCCAGAACAGAGGCTGCGATGGCTACTGCAAAGCGGGGGGCTTGCACAGTAACCCCAAGTCCTGGTCTTGAGTGGGTTCATCGCTCCTCATCTGCCCAGCCACGTTTTTGTGCTGAGTAAGATGCAAGCTGAGCAAATAGATCTGGTTTTCTCTTCAGCACGGTACACAAGTGCACTCCGCTGTATTCACTGTACATGATCACTGAATATTTCGATACATGGGTAAGTATGCCTCCTGCGCCACAGCCTGCCTATATTCCACATGCTACTAAAAAGTCCTCCAAAATCACAGCCACTGTAGAGTATGTGTACAAAGTATGATTTTCAAAGGCTCAAAACTCATTCAAATCAAAATCAATTTGCAGAGGAACCCTCAAAGGCACTTCTTCTCAATGAGGGAGGTTTCCCTACCAAATTTCAAATTTCAGCTCTAACCATTCCAGACACAGAGTTGATCCAAAAGAAAAGCAAGAAGAATATTATTTTAAGCGTGTGCATTTTCCACTCCATGGATACTCAGAAATGGCTGAATGATTTATGAGAGGGGTTTTTTAATATGTAAAATCGTGAGAAAAAGATTAATCTAGAAAACATCAAGCATAAAAATGAAGATTTCTAAAAATGATGGATAAGCGCTTGTAGATTCACTGTGATCATCCAGGCTATGGCAACTTTAAGTAGAATATCCTCAAGATATGAAGCCAAATATTTAAATCTTTTATAAAATTAAAGAATACTTGGAAAAAAATTTCATAAAAGGCACAAGTACATTATGTACTGGGCAGTTACAAGGATTAAGATCCTTTCTTTTACAAATAAAAAGGGAAAGTAATATTGTGTAATATTAAAGGACTGAAGGCATTGAAACCAGACATTTTTATAGCTGCTACTGAAACAAAATGCCATGGAAAATGGGTGTCTTTAAGAAAGCAAATGTGGAAAAAAGAACAGAGAGTAAGTAGACAGTATTTTAGGTTTTCTAGGAACCTTTGAGTGCACGTTTCTACTGCATGCTTTATTTAAAACCTTTTTCTCTTTAATTTAAAAAAAGGTCAATATATCAATAAAGTATATCAGTTTAGTGTCTTGTCTCAAAACAGTGTATTTGAAACATCCAAGATTTCATTGAAACGCTTGGCTGCAATCACATTCAATAAACATGAGAAACTATCTTTGCTTTTTTAACAGGATGTTATGTTTGATATTTTAGGTTGGCATGACAACTGAAGAAATAGATTCCATTGTTCATCATGAAATAATCAGACAGAATGCCTATCCTTCACCTCTGGGCTATGGAGGTTTTCCAAAATCTGTTTGTACTTCTGTAAACAACGTGGTATGTCATGGTATTCCTGACAGGTATTTCCCCAATAATATACATTTTACCACCGGGAACGAAAATGTTAAAACTGAAATTAATAAATTGTGTTTAATATTGAACATACTTCATCATTACTAAATGTCATATGTAGACCTATTGCAGATGCATATCATGTTACCATATGATGCTGATAGATGTTATAGAAATGTATGTGAAGTAGGAAGAAAAATATTATCCTGTTTGTCCAGGTACTTTTAAAAAAATAGCATAATGCGTTTAGAATTTGGGGGGGGAAGGGGGAATCAGTACAGTCTGATTTTTTTTTTTTTTTTTTTTTTTTTCCCTCCAGCAAAATAAGTATAGGGTAAGGAATAAATAGATTTGAATTCATGTGGGTTTGGGTTTTGGTTGGGTTTTTTTATTTGCAATACATTCAGCTACTCACAAAGTAAAATATGAACCCTAGTGAGAGAAAAAGAATAAATATAATGGTAGATTTTTTCAGGTGGTGGTATGTTTTTCTGGTAGTTGTTTCTCATTATTTTATATTCAGCTACACTTGTTCTCTAAGTAGTGAGAGCTGAACATTAAAAATGGTTATTCATTTGCCTCTGCCTTTGTCCATCACAAAATATCTGCCCCCTGATTTTTTATGTATGTGTCATTAGGTGTTTATTCTTATATTCCCTTTGCTGGGAACTGTCTGTCACCATTTTTTTTTTTTTTCTGTTTATGTTTCAGTCGACCTCTTCAGGATGGAGATATTATCAACATTGATGTCACGGTGAGTAATTCATATAAAAAATAGTCTTTGATCAACTTTAGAATCACTAGTAGCAACAGGAAGAATAGTGGATTGGAGATGGGGGATGCACAGATGGATGTGCTGTTTACTTCTGAGCCAAGGCACAAGCAGCTGGTTTCCTTTTTTGTTTTTAACTGTGTGTTTATTCCAGCTAGACCCAGGCCTGACTTGAATTTAGGACTGGAATCAGATGCACTGAGATCAATGTTGGCCTAAGTGAAATGTCAACCCAATCCTGCTATGTGTCATGTTTTTGAGAAGGTGTAATTGTTATTGATCCACTGTGTAGTTAATGCAGAGCACCACAGTACTGGGCAGCAGCTGAAGATAGATATGTATGAGATGAGCTAACATGAAGAAAGCCAGCATTTTTCCTTCACTCTGCCAAGATTGATCTTCCTCTTCCTG